AATTTCTTGATGCCAGATTCAGTTATGTGAAAACGTTTCGTGCTGGTACTAGAAAAAGTGAGATCAATCTCAAAGTGAATGAACTTATGATCCGAATTATTTTCCTCGTCCAGTATCTTCCAGTTTTTAAAAAGAAAGGTGCTGGCATTTGTGCTTGAAAGGGTCAGGTCAGGCCATCCTTTACCTGAGCATGTTTCGAAGGTAGGCCCTTTTGTACGGTGTCGTTGTGAAGGACGAGAGAAGTTGGCAGCTATGAAATCTTCTACTTGTTCGCCTCTAGAATCTGATTTTGATATATCCCCATTGCACGCAGTGGGCATTCATATCCCCACCGATAAAGTGATGTGGCAGTCGGAGCACTCTGAATTATATTGTCAAGGTGTATAAGATTTCTTTCAATTTCTTCTGCGGGCGAACAGTAGCAAGAAGGAAATGCATAGTTGTACTGTACCTGAATTAATTGAGATAGATATAATGTCTCTATCAATTTTGCATACAGTAGGGTCTAGTTTTGTTTGCTCGTTACGACAATGCATGCTCTGGGTTTTTTTTCTTTTTTTTTTTCTGGACTGGAAAATCTTTGCTTAAGTTTTTATATAAAATATTCCATGATAATGGGAACCCTCTTTTATCTCTCCTTTCACGCTGTATGGCTCCTGGATTAGTAAGATATCGTAATTCGGATTCTGAGACGAACTACGGCACAAGTGAAGATGTGGCTTCCTTGCATCTCCTAAGATTACACTGAAGGCAATTAAGGTTCTTGAGAATCTGTGAAGTTTTGATTAGCATTGAAGGATTTGTGGAAAATGAGGCATCATAATAAATACTTTGCAATATGAAAAATGAGAAAAAGAGAAGAGTAACTAAGGTAAATCAAAGGCTAAATTGCGTTGATGAATCGAAATGAAGTATAATTTAGACTATTTGGATAATTTGTGATAGCTTTAATTTTTTCGGTTTCTCTCTTGTACAGAGGGCATTGTGGTGCATATGCTGCATGCGTGCAATTAATGTTTGTGTCGTTTGCGTTGTTGTACAATATGCTATTTATGCAATTAGATATATCGGCTCTGGATTCTTTTATTGAGTGATTGCCTCCACAGAATGCACAATATAATTTAAATTTGCACTTGTACTGAGAATGCGTAAAGTCTTGAGATTGGAAGCATCTTTTGATGCCAAAGAAGTCTGCAAAAGGGAGAAAATTTCAGTTATAAGTAATGCTATTCCTGTGTTCCATGCATGTCTTGAAGGTTGAAGAATTACATTCAAAAATCCATTTTACAGTATTAGGAAGTCTTCCTTTTACCTTAAAGAGAGCGGAGATCCCTTCTTTTTCAATGTTGATCTGATCAACAAGTTCTTCTATTATGAGTTCTGGAGGAGTATCTTTAGGAATATTATGTTAATAGATACTTTGGGCGATCTTGAATTTGGAGTCTTAATATCAAAGAGGGATTTAGCATCCGCTGTATCGTTCAGTGCATCTGACACCTTCTTTAGCTCCTCTTCAGAATTACAACAGATGGCAATTCCTCCATTTTTAATCAGAGCAATCTTGTTTATTTTTGCTTTAATGTTTTTTAAGGGGATGAGTTCATTGAGTTTATCATTAATGAGACCTTATGGTATCATTTTTAGGGTATATCAGGATAGCCGGGTTCGCGTTCCTTCGGTGGTTTGGCCACGATTTCGGCAAAGGTTTTCATTTCCATTGCAATAACAGACAGTCTGCGTTTGCGATTCCGTCACTGTAATTCCCTTTGCATGTTGCGATGTCATGTGGAGGAGGATTACCTTGGGTAGGAACTGAGGTTGTTTCTGTGAGAGGAACAGCCTCAGATCATTTGGATATCCTTTGCGTTTCTCAAGGCAAGTAATTTTAATTCGTCTAAATGTTTCTTAATGTCTAAATGCAGTGTAAAGAGGCTTTGGGGAATAAGTCTCCTTCCCCCTCTTCTAGTGCTCGCAATATCAATATAAGTACTGTACAGCTGACTTACTCTTATGTGAAGATCCACATTTCCTTCAGGGTCTTGCAGAGAGGGGAAAGCAGACACGTTGTCTGGAGCAATTGATGTAAAACAGCCTGGGGGATCGTAGACTGATGCTGCAGTCTTTCCCGTCTCTTCAAACGCTTGGGGGGGAAAGGGCGGCTATTCTCTTTCTTCCATTTCGCTGCAGCGGAAAGAACACTAAAAGTGACTTGGAAGGGGGGAGAATTAGAGCAGTAATAAAAGTACTATTTTCCCTGGAATTACAGTAGCACACCCGCTGTCCGCAGCACTGCCTTTGTCCGAGACGGAGAAGAGGGGAGAATGCTGAAATTCCTTTATCTTAAAAGCAGAAGAAAGGAGGGTCGCATGATTGTATATTGCGTTAAAGTCCAACGGTCAGGAACTCGAAACAAAACATTATCACTTAAAAAAGTAATTAACTAAATGGTAAATAATGAAGAAACTTACATGACTGAACTCCTAGTGCTTTTCTGTAGCTGCAGGTGCAAAAATACTCTTGTAAGCCTGAATATTCCGCGCACAATAATGGTACTACCACAGGAGAAGATATATTTACTTGTGTTTTTGGACTTCTGCAGAAATACAATCTACCTTTGGCAAAATTAAATTCTGTAGCTACAGATGGCGCTCCATCAATGACCGGGAAAAACAAGGGCTTCGTAGCATTACTAAGAAAAAAAACTTAGTGAAATTCACGGTTCAAACATTCATCATATGCATTGTATCATACATCAAGAAGTTCTATGCACGAAAGTAATAATATGGAGAATGTTTTTGTCATATATAAAAAAAAGTTATAAATTTTATAAGATCTCGAGGTTTAAATCAGCGTCAATTCACTGCTTTCTTAAGTGAGTTAGATAGTGAATATTCGGGTTTGTCCTACTATACCGATGTATGTTGGTTATCTTGCTCCAAGATTCTCAAACAATTCCTGAGGATTTGAAAGAAGAAATATGTCAGTTTTTAAAAACGAAAAATCAAGACGTAAGTTTGTTTTACGATCCAATATCGGATACAAGATTTATCTTTCTTGGTTGATATAACCAAACACTTAACCGATTTAAATTTATCGTTACAAGGAGAAGATCATATCATTACGAACATGTTTGACATAAATTAAAGCATTCAAATGTCAACTAGTTCTTTGGAAAAACAACTTAAAAATGAAGATTTGATGCACTTTCCGACGTGCAGCATGAACAAATCAAGTTTAGATGATACTTGTTCATATCAAAAATACACAGAAAAATTGCAAATTTAACAACTGAATTTGAAATGAGGTTTAATGATTTTAGTTCCCTCGAAGACAATTTTTTTTTTTTTTTTTTTTTTTTTCTTTGATTTTCTCAATAAGTATTGACTCAGTACCCAGCCATATGCAAATGCAGGTGATCGAGATTCAATGCTACTCAAATTTGAAAGCAAAATTCATTGAAGTGGGTGTGCCTGACTTTTACAAATATTTACCAGCCAGGTTTGAAAATACTCGAAAATTCGCATATGAAATTATTTTCCATGTTTGGTAGCACTTATCGGTGCGAGCAGTTATTTTCAGTCATGAAAGGTAATAAGTCTTCTATTAGAAACCGTATTAATGATACTCACCTTGGGTCAGCGTTGAAAGTTATCACTGCAAACAAAATTTCTCCCGAAATAGGAAAGATATTAGCAGAGAAGAGATGTCAAGTAGCAGGACGTAATATTAAATTTTTCTTGTTCTTTTCTATATAAATATATATATATATGTTTATTATTGTATTATTCGAAATAAATCTACTTTCTATGAATATTGATTTTTTTTTTTTTTTTTTTTTTTGCGGCCCGCCTAAAGTTAAATCTTGTTTATTTGCCCCAAGTGTACCTATGAGTTTGACATCCCTGCACTAAATAAATATAAGGGAGGAGGATGGATGTGATATTTGCCATTATTCGTTTAACTGATTCGTATAGTTACTTCTTCAGCATATAGCTCATTATTGTAGCATAATTCACAAGGAAAAGGAACCCATGGCTACAGATCTCAGTGTTAAATTTAGACAAGCAGCAATAGCAGCAAAGATTCCCCAAAGTGATGCCATTCTTAGGAGGCAAGCAGGAAAGGAAGCAATTATTGATCAAGCAATGTGATGGGGAAGTACATATTTGATGATAAAAAGGTTATTATAATTAAGAACTTTTTTAGAAGATGTAGCTAAACCTAATGTCTCACTAACAAAAAGGCTGTAGAATCATCTTGCAGAATTGGAAACTCTTTTTTTTACACCATATATAGCCACAAAAAAGCTACGATCTGAAGAATTAACAGGAACCTTGTTTGTGCGAGAATGGAGAAATGTGATGTTTGTTTGTGATGTTATGTGATGTTTAAAATGGGATGGCTTATTGTAAAAGAAATAATTTCCTCAGTGAAGGAAAGAGAAATTAGTTTGCTAGAAAATGAGATATTGCTGGGTTCAATATATGTAGATCCAAAACACCAAATTTTTTTGGATGACAAACAAATTAAAAAGGTGAAGAAAGCCATCTATGAACTTTCACTAAGAATGAATTATTCTCAGAATCGCTGGAGTGTTCAAATCAAGACTGTTAGACTCATCCTCTTCCAGTGATGAATTAGATTTTGAGAAATATTTGAATAATATTGAAAAGGCTGAGGCAAAGCAAATGAAAATAAAGAACCAAGAGCCCTTTGATATAAAAATGAAAAAATACAAACAAGATTTCTGAACAGCCCTTGAAGAAATAGAGAAATATGACTATGTTTTGTGTAATATTACTATATTTGTGTAATTTTGTGTACATACAAGTTAAATGTGTGATAAGTTGTATTGGTTTAAACCTTTTTCAGAACTTAATTTTTCCTGAAATTTCTAAAGTTTGTGTGATTTTTGTGCATATTTTTGTCCTTTCATTCTTATTATATTTATTAAAAATCGAGTAAAGTTAACTTTAATTGCATACAATAATTCTTTGCAGTTTAGTTGCATTGGCATTTTCAGGATCCGTTGGAATGACACTGCTGGTTTTAGGCTGTGCATTACCACAGTATAAGTAAGTATCATTCATTTGAAGCAAATCTTTAAATAAATAAATAAAATATTTTGAAATTATTAAAATAAATTTTCCTATGCATTATTTAAATTAAAATACATGGTTATTCGATATGGTTGATCCAATTTTAGTTGATCATAAATTTATACCTGTTAATCTTGTATTTATTGAATATACAGAGAGATCCCGTTTTAACATGAAAACTTTTGACTGTATTATGTTAATAATGCTTCATTTTAAATGTTAACCATAAGCAATGTCCCTTAAATATTGCCACTGCATAAAGACGCTTGTTAGACATTTGCACGATAGCGCCTCTTGGCGCTGGGCTGTCTCCAGTCATGAAATCTTATTTGTGAGTCTGAAATATTTTGCAATTTATGTCCAAAAAGTGTGCAGGAAAACAAAATACTGCATTTTGTGTAATGGAATATAAAATTCAATTATTTAATGGTTTCTCTGTTAATTTGTTTAACATAAAACCAGTACTTTGAAAATTTTCGCCCTGGATCATCTGCTTTCAACATGTTCAAATTTATGTTATCACCTTAATGTGGACTGAGTGGAACAAGGGATTATATTACTGATTCATTTGTAATACCAGACCAGAAATGAGGATAGCTCTAATTTAGCAGTATTTCTTCAGGAGTAGTCTTCTTCAGGAGTCTTTTAATTTGTTCTTGAGTCAAGACTTCGTGCAAGATCATCCTGTTCTGAATTATTATGAAGCAAATGTAGTAAAATATATTGTGAAACAGGAGATTTTGTTTCTTGCAATGGCTGCTTTTTTTTTGCTTCTGTGAGAATAGTTGGTCATTTAAGGTGGTCTACTACAGCAGCGTTACAATACTAAAAATTTGTTTACACGCAGAATCGCTAAATAAGAAACTATGTTGCGTGAAATTTGGCAGAAATATAAAGCAATAGGTCAATTTTGGAATCAAAATGTTAGAATCAGGTTTGGAATGAAATTTACTTAAATATTATATTTTAAAAAAATTAGTTTGAAATATGTAATTTTAATGTGTAGTTGGAAAGCGATCAATAGATGGCGCTACGAGTTAACAATTTAGCATTGTAATCTTATTTCTGCAAAATTCACGAAGTAATTGATTTTGATATCAGTTATAAATCATATTTTTTTCTAAATAATATTTAGAAGCGTTTCATATATTCCTTTATACACAGTTTTCACTAAACAGTGTCAGCTGTCAGCGGAATGACGTTTACGGCAACCCTATTGCATTGCTATTCCGCACTCGGTTTGTTTACATTTATTTGTACTGTGGTCAGTTAGCAAAAAATATGCGAAAATATCAAGGACGACCGAAAAAACATCCTGGTGTTAATAAGAGATCCAGAATTCAGCGAAAGCGTCAAGCTCAAGAAAAAAATATGAAATTAAATTCCCGAGATGTGGAAGATTCCGAACAAGCGGATGTTTTCGAAAGGTGAGAAATATTTTATTCTTTATATCGACTACCTCGTGTTTATGATTTCGTAGTAAGTTAATTCCGAAGTAAAATATGCGTACTTTTTTTTTTTATTGAAGGTCAGAAATTATTGATACAACTGCATCTGTGTCAAAGGAGAATCATTGCCCGGATGATTTTTTTTACAAAGTAATGTTTTCTTTTTTTTTTGTTTTTTTTTTTTTTTTTTTTTTTGTATGTGTATGTTTGTGTGTGTGTATGAGGGGATGCTAATAATTGTTCAATTCTGTTATAACAATTTATTCCTCCATTCACACTAAATTGTTGGGAAATATTGAAAGTGTAAATTCCAATTCACAAAGAATTGCTGAAATAATTGAATCTTTTCAAAAGTATGAGCATGTTCTTGCGATCTAAATTGAATTCACCATCATTACATTCTATTATTGGAAATTTTATAGTCATATGTTTGCTACGAAATGCTTTGTCAGTTACCTATGGTATATTTTTACAGGTGTATGCACATTTCATTCATGTGCTCGCTGTTCAACTTGCTTTTTTTTATTATGTCATTTACTTGGATGTTAAAACTTTCTTTTAGCGTTGGAACATTTTATAATCATTTAGTAAAATTTACAGGGTGATTATAATTAAAGTTTAAGTTTCAAAACGCTATAAAAAAAGAACCACTGATGAAAATGATGTGAAATTTGAAAGGAATGTTATTGAAGAAACCGGAATGAGTATGGCAGAAGAAAAAATTTAGTTTCAAAAGTTAGCAACAGATGGCGCTGTAAGCGGCAGAATCACGACGAGAAACGAGAAATGTTTCGTAAAACAACGGCTAAGGTGGAAGTTACACATTAAAACCATTGACAAATTAGAATTGTTGAATAATTTTATTTGCATGACTGTACATATCACATCGGAAGGGACAAATCGGTGGGTTTCAAGAGTTTTTGCGGCGGCATACCGCATAAGAACCATTCATCAAAGAAGTTCGGAACTGTCGCAAAACATGTTCAATATGGTGTCCCCGTTTTGTGCAACAAGTTTGAAAGCGACAACAGCATGTTCCACAACGGATCGCAGTGTCTCCGGGGTGAATGTTCAGAATGTTTTGCGAAATGCGTGCCTTTAATTCCGCTAAATTTGCAATTGGAGCATGGAACACAACATCCTTCAGATATCCCACACCAAAATCACACGGAGTAGATCAGGCGATCGGGACGGCCAGGCTGTAGGGAAATGACGGCTTGATAATTCGAGCATTTCCGAAATGGCCCTCAGCAGCTGCTTCACGGATATGCAATGTGCGGAGGAGCGCCATCTTGCATAAAAATGATTTATTCACACATCCACGCTGTTGCAGAGCTGGAATCACGTGGTTGGCAAAAGAGACGCATACCTCTGACCAGTGACGATTGCGGTAACAGGACCGGAAGCACCCGTCTGCTCGAAAAAATATGGTTGTATGATGACTAATGCCGTAAAGCCACACCAAACCGTGACCTTTCAGGATGAAGTGGTACGGGGTGCGTTGCCAGTGGATTTTCTGTGCCCATATTCGACAATTCTGGGTTTCACGTATCCTGTCATATGGAAATGGGCTTTGGTCATATGGTCATATGGAAAGTGGATAATGAATGGCCGTGGAAAATTTCCAACGTCTCCCTAGCTGTCAGGTCAGAAGGAAGCAACTCCTGCACATGGCCAATTTTGTACGGATAGCATTGCAGGATTTCGTACCTGTCGTTTCGAATTTTTGCATCATTTTCTTTAGCTACGCACTCATTGGACCACGCCTTCTTTTTACCTTCAGTGTCCTGAAATTTTGCAGAGCTACTCTTGCACAATCATCATTCTTGTAATACAGCTTTACCAGCAAGCGCGGTCCTGCAGTGAAACACCCATGGCGAATGCCTGAGTCGCGAAATGAGGAACAGCCTGTACCTGGCAGCTTTATAAACTGAAATTTAACTAAGATTTTATTTACGTCTTCTTCCGCTTGCAGCGCCATCTGTTGCTAACTTTTGAAACTAAATTTTTTCTTCTGCCATACGCTTTCGCCTTCTTCAATACATTCCTTTCAAATTTACGTCATTTTCATAAGTGGTTCTTTTTTTTATAGCGTTTGAAACTTAAACTTTAATTATAATCACCCTGTATATATAAATATATATTATTGCTTGTTTATTTATGGTTCTGTGTATTTGTCATGTATGCATGTTGTGAAGTGTAGTTTTTGAAAAATATGTCACAGATGGTAAATTCCACCAAAAGCTGAATTGAATTGATATTGGGATGCAGGTAATTAGAAAATATCTGCTGTGTATTTTGAGCGTAGAACCATACTAGTGCCAAGAATGGGAACCAATACGCTTCATGCTTGCTTTCTTAGCCTTTTTGCCATTGTCCAAATTGAATTATCTCTAGTAGAAAGGGAAGTGAATGCTTTCTCTGTATAACATTAAAATATCTGTCTGATCAATAATCTACCAATAAGAAACTTTTCATATGTTATGTGACAGACTTTCTGCAAACAGAAGTCCTTAAGCTCTGTTCTTGTACATGTTTTTTAATCGTGGTTCAGATGTATACTTCTCAAAGGAATTCTTCTCATAGGAAGATTGTCTGAACATTGAAAAAACTATATTCTGCTTTTAGGGGCCTAATATTTTAGGCCCCTAAAATTAATATTGAAATTTCTAAAATGTTGAAAAATATGTCATCTGGATTCCGTGCAAAAAATATAATCCCTTCTTTCATTTCTGCATTTGCAATTCCTGCATTTTCTTTATTCCTACATTTTTTAATTGGAAGGAATTTCATTCGCAGAGCCTCTAATTTATTCTTACAAATCATGTAGTAATGTACCATTTTAGATAGATATAAATAACACATTTTGTAATTTTTCTAAACTGCGGTTATACAGCATGATATAATAGCTACACAAGGTATGGCGAAACAGTATAACAGCAATATCTGTCGCACTGTCTGAGATGGGTGGTAGTCATACATAGCTTAATGCTTAAATTTGTTATGTGTTATTTATTTATTCATGTTTTTTTTTTTTTTTTTAATTATGTTATAGCTGTATTTATTCTTTCATTCTTAGTCTGGAAGTGAAAATTTGACTTTTCTACGCCAGAAGTTACAGCTATGTTCCTAAGACAACCAGGCTTTCTTGAGGTAAGTTGGTTTTTTCAGAAATGTATTAGCTGTGCATGATATTGAACTCTTACAGTTACTTAATTATGGTTAACTATTATGTTTAATTTAGAAGTCAAGCAACCAAAATCAGTGTTATATTTTCAATAGTGAATATTTCGAAATATGATGCTGATTTTGTTGCTTGACTTCTAAATTAATACTTGGTCAGCGTGTGTATCTTATTAAACTAATTATGGTTTCTTTTCTTCTCAGTTCTGATCTGACATTTCAGTTATCGACTCTGACGTAGAAGGTTACAAGCTCGGTTGATCTCTACATTATGGTAACTTGGCGATTTCTTGGCGAAAATTTGGCGACCACTCTCCTACAGCAACCCCTATTTTTTTTTCCCGCCGCATTTTGTCTTCACGAAGTAAAGACATGTTTCTTTTCTTTTATCTCCTGAACACTTCTTCCAACAATCTACTAGCCGAATTACACTTATGCTAGAAATTTTATCAAACAAAACTGCTTAATCATGACAAATATTCACTGCAAAATTAGGAAAAACTGCACAATACCATCCTCCTTACGCATTTTCAAAATAACACATACACATAAACCATGTACACCCCGACTTATTTTTACTTAAAAAAACATCCCAATTGCATAAAATGGCATTGCGCACACTCTTCACTATTCCATGTACACTGCTTTTTTCTCATAAATTAAAAAAATTTCACGAAAATACATGACAATTTTTCTCAATCTTTAAACCCGGTAAAAAGAACAATATGAAATTACATGATCGCGAAAAAGTATTTACCCTTTACAATATCAACATTTCCACATATAAAATAATAGAATATCCAAAAACTTTTACCTCTAAATCATCTATTACATTATACACGTCAGCAAGAATTCATACCGCAAGCATTACAAATACTTATATCAATATTTAAATTATTTCCATGCACGTTTATTTCAACTTAAAAGTATACCAATTCCTACAAGCATAAAATTCACAAAATAACTATCATTTCATTAAATATCACTAAACCATGTACAAGTCGACTTTTTTTACTTAAAAAAATCCCAGAATGCACAAAAATGGCATGCGCACACTCTTCACTATATCCATGTACACTGCTTTTTTTCTCATAAATTAAAAAAATTTCACGAAAATACATGACAATTTTCTCAATCTTTAAACCCGGTAAAAGAACATATATGAAATTACATGATCGCGAAAAAGTATTTACCCTTTACAATATCAACATTTCCACATATAAAATAATGAATACAACAACTTTTACCTCTAAATCATCTATTACATTAACACGTCACCACGAATTTGCTTACAAATACTTAATATCAAATATTTAAATTATTTCCATGCACATTTATTTCACTTAAACATATACCAAATTCCTACAACATAAATTCACAAAATAACTATCATTTCAATTAAAATATAATTAAATTCAAAAACACTACTTAAATATAAATGGCACATACATTAAATTAATAAAAATTACCTTACAATCCTATTACTTTAAACTAAATCATTGCTAATACAATTTCCCAATAATCCAAATTCCTTTCCACCTTACATTTACCACAATGCATAAAATAATAAAAATTAAAAATACTAACTTACCTAATCTTCTTCAGAATCTTCATTACTGGCGGATAACTTTTCTTCCTCTGTTTCAGAATCTTTAAAATCTACTTATCTTTCAAAGCAAGATACCAGGTAAAATAAATAACATAATAAAACATCTTTATTTCTCTCTCGTTAAAAACTTTTACTATCCTTTTCAATACCACTTCATTTCGAATTCACTTTAGTTACGGCCTGATATTCACAAAATATTTGGTGCAGGGACAAGGGAGCTCTCTCTTTTGGGGTAAATATGTATTTCTCTATGCCAAAATTAAAATGTCATCATTTATGTTTTTCTTTTATGGTGTTACATTATGTTGTTTACATACTGATAGCTATTAAAACTGTTAAATATAATATTGTAGCTATCAA